AAAAAACGCTGCAGTAAAATAGTTTGGTTTTAGGTGTGCATATATTATGGGACATCCTGTATAAGAACTGACGAATAATTTATTCTACTTATTAGAAATGGGGTGTTTATAGCTATCTAAAGCATCGTATGGTCCCATATCTCAAAAATGCTGTAGTAAAATGTTTTTATATGAGGTGTGCATATAGTATGGGGCGTCCCTTATAGGAACTGACCATTGGTTTTTCTACTTATTAGAAATGGGGACTTTATAGCCCTCTAAATCACCATATAGTCCCATATCTCAAAAATGCTGCAGTAAAATGGTTTGATATGATGTGTACATATAATATGGGACATCCCTTATAGGAACTGACCATTCATTTCTTCTACTCATTAGAAATGGTGTCTTTGTAGCCCTCTAAATCGAATAATTTCCCATTTCTCTTTTTCTAGGAATCCTGCTATGATTTGAAAGGTCAAAAAATACAGTAACACACATCCGTCAAAACACCAATAAATAACACGCATATTAAAGCAGGAGTACAAAAAAAAGAAATCGAGAAATGTCATCTTGTTATATTATATCTCAATTCTGGGCGTCTAAATGAAAAGTACTCTGAAAGCGCGTTCTCTCTGTGTGTTCCTGCAATTACCGTAATCATTGTAATACGCGCGCTGCTAATTTCAACCGCGGCTGGCTTAACCGCAGTGTCCTGTGCACTCAGACTGAGCGCTCTCTTCTGTCATTACAAGACACGCCCCCTTACTGCTGATTGGCTGCAGGTGTGTTTTGGGACTTTTATCTCTCTGAGCCTGTGTGTCTCTCAAGAGTACCGGTATTTGACAGCAATGTCTCTAGTAATAGTGAAACTTTTTTTGTAAAGATATGTTTATTGGGAATATACATAAAATTATGGAAAAGCACTAAGAATATCAGAACATTCCTTTTTTAACAGCTAGCAAAAAAAGGTACAGACCTTCCGCCCACCCAATTGTCTCAAATGTTTGTCAAAACATTTGTCATTTCAATGTTAAATAAAGGTAGAAATACAATAAAGGGGCCCAGATAGAGTCGAAGTCCTAACAGAATATAGTATTTTCTCAGGGGTACTATAAGATACAAGCTCATTAACCCAGTGTTTTTGCTCTGGGGGGGTTCTCAGATTCCCAGTTTTTAAGTATACATTTTTTAGCTGCAGTGCTTGCAAGCAAAATACAATAGCCTTCATGATAGGTCATGCGAAGTGAACTGATATCACCTAGCATCCAAATTTTAGGATCAGGATCAATATGATTATTTGATATTTTAGAAATTGTTGCAATAACATACTTCCAGAACATCTCTAATGCTGGACAACTCCAGAGCATCTGAAGAAGAGTCCCAGTAGATAGTTTACATCTTTGACTCATGGCAGAGATCCCACCATTACGTTTGTTTAGTCTGTAGGGGGTGTAATATGTTCTATGTAAGATGTTAAAGGGGTCATATGATGCAATTTCAAGTTTTCCTTTCTCTTTGGAGTGTTACAAGCTCTTGGTGCATAAAGAAGATCTGTAAAGTTGCAAAGACTAAAGTCTCAAATCCAAAGAGATATTCTTTATAAAAGTTAAGAGTCAGCCACACCTAAAACGCCTCGTTCTAACACGCCCCCACATATCTACATCACTATGTGGGAAGATTTGCATAACGCCGCCCAAATGTTCACGAAAAGAAAGAAGGCGTAACTTTTATTCTCGCTGTAGTATTGTTGCTGCCACCGCCATGTCGTGAAGATGCTGTGTGTTTCGTTGTGAAAGCGAAACTACTTTGTTTGGTCTTCCAAAAGAGGACGATATCCGCTTCGTCATGCCTAGAGCTGATCCGTGCTGGTCGCTGAGGAAATACAACAACTTTG